CTCAAATAGCAAGCATGCAACTTGCATGCATGCATAAGCCGCTAGCACTAGCCTTTGTGCGTATATATATCTTCTTGCGCATGCAGCCCCACCAAGTGTGCCATTTGTCCTTAAACCCGTTCAAACCCCAAACCCTAAACCCCTAAGTAGGGTTTATTTCCGGGGTGAGAGTGTTTGCTGCATGCAAAGGGTTTAATTGATGCAAAAAAACATTTGCCGTTTGCTGCTGCTGCTGCACTTGCTACTGTGGGGCCCCGCCAGGAGCACACGCCGGGTGTATGTACAGCTCAAACAAAGCCCCGGCCCTAGACCCTGCTGCTCTTCGGCTTTTCTTTTTCTTCATTTTTGTTTAGAGCTTTTTATTAATTATTCACTTTGCATTCCTAGATGCAAAGTGCAAACGCGAACATCCGCCTAGCTAGGGTTTAGAGTTAAGGGTTTAGGGTTTGCAGTTTAAGGTTTAGGGTTTAGGGTTTAGGGTTTAGGGTTTAGGGTTTAGGGTTTAGGGCTTGGGGTTTAGGGTTTTGGGTTTAGGGTTTGTTGTTTGGGTATGTGGCTCGCCTCGCGCAGCGGCGGTGTATATACAGCTCAGCGCAAGCTACAGCTGCAGTGTCTGTACACCTCAGCGCAGCCAATCGTCTGAAGTCTTTGCTGCTGCAAAAATGCTGCTGCAGCAAAATGGCAGGACTTAAAATGTGTTCATTTATTTTTAATGAGAATTGTTTTATCCTTTGAGGGTTTGGAGTATTTGTTGAGGGGTTGCTGCCAGCTGAGGGTTTAGCGGCGCGCTGGGGTTTAGGGTTTAAGTTTTAGGGTTTGGGAATTAGGGTTTAGGGTCCAGGGTTTAGGGTTTGACTTCCTCTCCACCTTTGACTCGATTTGTTGTGTCTATACTGCTCAATTATCTGCACAGCATAAAAGAGAATATCCGCCAAATTAGGGTTTAGGGTTTAGGGTTCAGAATTTGGACTGCAAGCAGCCTTATGCTGACGCTCCACAGTTCGGACTCGCCGCAGAATTAGAAAGTGCTCTAAACCCTAAACCCTAAACCCTAAACCCTAGTTAGACGGATATGCGTATTGTTTCACTTCGTCTCTTATTTAAAAATGATTTATTTGGTTTTATTTTTTTGTTACAAGTTGTTTCTCCTGCTGAAAATTAATATCATTAATCATTTTTAGTTTTAAAATTACATTTATTTATTTTCCATTTTTTATATTTTGTATTTTTTTTATTATTCGAATTGTTTCTTCAGGTAAATAAACTTGAATTTTGTTTGGTGGACTTCGTGGGGGACAACGAGGTAAAAAGAAGTGTCTTGGCCCACACACTCAACCGGCAAACCCTAAACCCTAAACCCTAAACGCTAAGCCCTAGATTGTGGAGCAGAGCATGTGTATTGAATTAATCTCCTGAGCTATGGAGGGAATTCAACGAAACATAAAAAAGGAAGCGCTGCATATATATCAGAAAATCTAATTTTATTTAAATGATTTAATCCTAATTAATTAGATTAATTAAAAATTAATCAGATTAATTCTAAAAATTAAATTCAAGAAACATTTCTATGGGAGTTCAAGACAAGGCCAATTCAACTCAAATGCAGAAAAAGTCAAGAGGATCCGATCATACTTCAAAATAATGAGGATAAAATGAAATTAATTTATTTTAAATTTAATTTATATTGAAAGCTAGTTATTTCTCTCAATTTTATTTATTTATAATCCGAGCAAAAGCAGATATGCAAGATCTGATCGGGGGCTCCTGCGGGCAGCCGCTGACCACCGCCGACGCTCATCAACTGCTGCGTCCTTGGGGGAAATTCCCTTTTTCTTCGCGAATTTTGAAAAATTAAATGAAATAAATAAAAATAAATAAGCCTGCGAAGTTTATTTAGCCGAGAACTGCGCCAGGGAGGCGCAGAAAGCCGAGCAGCTCGTGGGGCTGTGTTGGGAGCCTCAGCTGCGCGGTGGCCGCAGGGGGCCCTTGTTCTTCGTTTCTAGCGGGTAAAAACTCGAAAATGGGTAAATTAATGGTTTTATTACTCAATTATAAACTTAAACACTTCTAAAAATACCCCAAAGTGGAACTTTCCACCAGCCACGTGGGAGGCGGGTGTACATACACCAGGCTGGGGTGTCTGGTGCTGAATGTGCAGAAGCTGCAATGAGGCTCTGGGCTCTCATTAGTTCAAATCTTTTTCTCCTTTTGACTTTTGCGAATTAATAAAACAGTTTTCCCTTCGGAAGTGTTTTAATCTTTTGTTTTTCCCGCGTTTCCCGCGAGTTCCGCGGGTGTGCCACCCCCCAGCAGCGCTCGGCGCAGCGGCTGCGGCGCTTCCCGGAAAGCTGCGGAATCGCCGCGTCAAATGGATTAAAAATTAATTTCGAATATAAAATTCGAAAAGAAAAGTCGGAGAACTTTGAAATGCGGGACTTGTAGAGCTAGGCGCGGTGCGCACACCAGTGGTCTGGGCTGGGGGGGTGTTGGGATTTTTTGAATTTTCGTTTTTTGGCCATTTTCCGGGCTTTTTGGGATTTTGAAAATGGATTTAAGGGCTCTTGACGATCCCCAGCCCCTCGAGGTCAGTTCTATTGATGATATTCACGTTTTGGCGGGCTGGGAGCACTGGCTGAAGTTGTCTTTTTCGACGCCGGACCTCCACATCACGCGCGGCTGGAGCCTCGTGTCCCGGGCCACGGAGGTCGCCTTCGAGGCCCACGCCCGAGTGAGGACTTCCCCTCAACTGCTTTTTATTTCCGCTTCAAAGCCCCAAATTCGAGTCCAAAAGTCCCCCCTTTTGCATGCATTAATTACGATTCTTGCATGCACTTATTCCCCCTTTATTCCCGCCCCAAAGCCCCAAATTCCGGCTCAGAAGCCGCTCTTTTTGCATGCAAAACGCGCAACTTCCGCTTCCACAGCGCAGCAGCAGCAGCAGCAGCAGCAGCAGTTTAGCTTCTTGGGGGTCTTTTGTGCTGCTGTTTGGGGCCTCAGGCGCTGCGGGGCCCCGTGGTTTACTCTTTCCTGGACGCAGACAGTCTTCCTGAGCCCGAGGCCCTCGAAATGGCATTAAAAGGAAAAAGATTTGCATGCAACTGGACCCAAATTGCTTTTCCCACGGGGGCCCTCGAGGCCCCCAGGGCCTTCGCAGCAAGCCCCGCGGGCTCCTTCCGAGTCCTTCTTTGCAAACTCGCCACCGGCAGCACTTTGCCCCACCACGAGGCCGAAGGCGAGGGTTTAGGGTTTAGGGTTTAGGGTCTAGGGTTTGGGGGTTAGGGTTTGGGGTTTGGGGTTTGGGGTTTAGGGTTCGGGGTTTAATTGGGGTTTAGGGTTTAGGGTTTAGGGCTTGACTTTGGGGTTGGCGTTTGGGGTTGGGGTTTGAGGTTGGGGTTTAGGTTTTAGGGTTTAAGGTTTAAGGTTTAGGGCTTAGGGTTTAGGGTTTAGGGTTTGTTGATATGCAGGGGATTTTTTCACGCGGGAGATTCCTGCGGCTTACTCTTCTTTGGCCCTGGTGGAGTCTTCGCCGGCGACAAATGAGTCAAAGCAAGCCAGTCTTTAATCTTAAATGAATTAGATTCAATTTTTTTATTTTATTTATTTATTTAATATATTTATTTTAATTAATTTATTTTGATTAATTTGTTTTTAATTAATTTCTTCTTTTTGTCCCGTTTTGTTTGATGTCGGACCACCCGCGCTGAGGTGTACAGACAGCTGCGCCCCACAAACGCATGCAGCCTGCTGCGGTGTCTGTACAGCCCGTGCATGCACCCGCCTGCCTCCCACACAAACAATATATATATATAAATATATATATATTTATAGATATATTTATAATAAATACATATAAATATATATATGTATATTTATATATAAATTTTCGTTTATTATATCGATATATAAACATATAAAATATAGATATATATATAACATTTTTATAATATATATCCATACTACACACATATAAATACCTATACATAAATCGAAATAAATATGTAACATCTGAAGCAGCAGTTCTCCGTCTCGCTGCTGCAGTGGTCCACTGGTCCCTCTCTCGCGAAACTTGCTCTAAACTTTTTATTTTTGGCTCGTTTTCTCCGCTGCCGCTGGTGCTGCCGCTGCTGCTGCTGCTGCTGCTGCTGCTGCAGGCGTTTGCGGGTGCACTACCGCGTGCGGACCAGTGGTCAGGTGCTTGCTGCTGCAGCCCTCGACTTCGCCTTCGGGGCCGTGCTGCTGCAGGTGCTGCAGCCCCGCTGCGAACTCTGCGGGGCCAAACCCGCGGCGCTCTTTTGCCCCCACGACAAGGCGCACCTTTGCGCGCTGTGCGATCGCCGCCACCACGCGGCTTCTGCGCTTCTCGCCAGGCACAAGAGGCTCCCTGTTTCCCAGGTTCGAGGGTTTTGATGGGGGTTTTGTGGAGGGTTTGCGAGGGTTTTGACGAGGGTTTTGGAGAGGGTTTTGGAGAGGGTTTTGGAGGGTTTGGAGGGGGTTTACGAGGGTTTTGGGAGTTTTGGGAAGGGTTTGAGGGGGGCGGCTTCTGCGCTTCTCGCCAGGCACAAGAGGCTCCCTGTTTCCCAGGTTCGAGGGTTTTGATGGGGGTTTTGTGGAGGGTTTGCGAGGGTTTTGACGAGGGTTTTGGAGAGGGTTTTGGAGAGGGTTTTGGAGGGTTTGGAGGGGGTTTACGAGGGTTTTGGGAGTTTTGGGAAGGGTTTGAGGGGGGCGGCTTCTGCGCTTCTCGCCAGGCACAAGAGGCTCCCTGTTTCCCAGGTTCGAGGGTTTTGATGGGGGTTTTGTGGAGGGTTTGCGAGGGTTTTGACGAGGGTTTTGGAGAGGGTTTTGGAGAGGGTTTTGGAGGGTTTGGAGGGGGTTTACGAGGGTTTTGGGAGTTTTGGGAAGGGTTTGAGGGGGGCGGCTTCTGCGCTTCTCGCCAGGCACAAGAGGCTCCCTTTTCCCAGGTTCGAGGGTTTTGATGGGGGTATGTGGAGGGTTTGCGAGG